TTTTTCTTTTTAAAAAACACTGTCAATTCATTTATCAAATTAATGCTCTGTTTGCTTTGGAATAAATTATTGATGCATGAGATTTACTGGCTTACAAATAACACAATATTGCATCAGCTCTCTTGAAAGATGAGAATAAACCCAGAGTCTGATGATCTGATTTTGTTTGTAGAAGTTACAAAGAACTTCAAAGAGTTCTGCAGTACTAAGAGAAGCTCAGATCACTGACCTCTATGTCCATAGATGATGAAGTCTGAATGCACAAGAGGCAGATCTTGCTGTTAAGAAAGAACATTTAATTAGAATTGTTTGCTCCACGTGATTTTAGGCAAATTACAAAGAGCCAGAGCAGTCAGGTTAATTGCCATGTTATTTAACTCCTCACTGCCCTTCCTGGGGCAATGGTGGTGACAGCCCAAGGGACACCCAGCTCTGCAATCTCTTTTATAAAGTCAAAGGGAGACTTAAATGCAGCTCAGGTAATGCAACAGCACAGACCCTTGTGAGACTAAGCAATGCAAACAGGCCCACCCCATGGAATGGGAACGGGAGAAGCACATTTAGTTAAACTGAAACAGACCTGAACACCACAAGAACTGAAAATCAAATATTTGTCAGAAATCACCTAGGATGAAACAGATCCAGATGGGGACAAAAATATCCCAGCTGTCTGTGTATTGATCGGTAACTTTCTCTGTAATTTACCAGGAATAAGCAGGTAGGAGTTAAAAAACCCAACTTACTGGACCATGTCAGCTACGTAGTCTTCCAGGTAGCAGCTATTGAATTTCACCAGGTTCACCAGAACCAGGAGGAACTCAGAAGTCAGCCCAACATCCATCCACTGCAGCACAAAATCAGCTACAAAAGGGAAAAAATCCTGTTACCTTCTACCCAGGAATGACACCACTACCTTTTTCTGTCATCACTGGGTGTCTCTGCCTGGATTTCTTGCCCCCAGACTGAAGAGGGGCCAATGCTCACCCAGCTCCTCCTCCAAGTAGGTGATGTAGCGCCCGTTCTCCGTCAGAGCCTTGAACACTTCCAGCCGCTCGTGCACGTCTTCATTGGAGGGATAATCCTTAATAACCTTAAAAAAGTGGGCTCTGAGGATGCCCAGCCTCTCACCCTGGAAATGAAAAAAGGGAAGGGGTTAAGGCCTGGTCATTAGCAAGGTATACCTCAGTAATCTTCATGCTTTAAATCAGCTTTTTGGTGAATCAATGCCTACTCCCTTAATAAGCATCCCCCCCTGCTTTCTCACAACACTGACGACAGCTTTGGGCTGATTCAGCCCCACGTTTGTGCAACACGTTGGGAAATCTGAAGAATTCCTTGTGTGCTGAACTTGGCCAGGCTAGAAGTGTCTCACACAGAACCCCTTGCATACCTGAAACATCAAAACCAGCTGCAAACTGGGACTAGAAAGACCACATAAAATCTGCTGAATTGTGCTGAACTTAACCCAAAGTATTTCCTCTTTCTCAAGAGCATTACCCCAAACCAGAACAGCTTTCTATGAGCTGTATGAAAAGTTTTGCTACGAGGTCAAACCAAGACTTAAAACTAAAACGCTTCCTCTTCTCATTTATGAGACACAACCAAAACGACAAATATGAACATTTGCAGAGAAGGCCTCCCTGGTGCTTTTCCCATTCTCCCCTGCACAAAGCCCAGTTCAGGTCAGTGTCCCCTGCCCCGTGGGGTGGCTGTCACCTGTCCCTGGACGATGGACTTGAGCAGGTGGAGCACGGCGTGCCTGGCCTCGGCGGGACGCTCCGGCTGCAGCATGTCAGCCACCACCTTCCACACGGCCTCCACGGCGTGCTGGGGGCACAACAAACACCAAAACCACGGCAAAAGCATGAGGCAGGGGAGCTCAGCTCCTCCAGGAGCTCCAGCCAGCAGGGCACAATGAGTGATGGCAATTCTGACTAAGATCCAGGGGCTCCACGTGCGGGGTTCTCTGCTCTGAGGGACACTCACCCACCTGGTCACACGCTCAGACCAGCCCCAGGAGACCCCAAATCCAGCCCTACACCCCAGGAACTGCAATTCCTCATTCCACACTCACTGAAAGTGGGAATATTGGTGCAGAAGCCTTCACCCAGCTACAAGATGAGTTCAAACCAATTGGGGGATGTTTATTAACAAGCCAGGAGATAAGGAAACCTCTCTAAATATCACCTCCCATGAGCTGTCCTGAACATCCCCAGCATTCTCCTTCCAGGACGGTGCAGGAAGCCCAACAGCTCCATCCCCTCTGCTGCAGAGGAAGGTTGGGCAGACTAACTCCCTTTTACAGCACAAAGCAGCCTCTGGGATCACCCATTCTAAAAAGCTTTCTAAACAACAGGAGTCCCTTATGATAGTCTGAGAGCTGCTGTTTAAATTTCCATCCTTCCAATACTCACTGAACACTTTGGAACTCACCTCTTCAATTTTTTTGGTTTTTGCCACTTCACAGATTTGACTGATTGCTCGTATCCTGTTACTCAATCCACACTCTATGCTCAGTTCCTGGAAAGAAATGGAGAAATAAGCTAACAGTTTATCTTACCAGAAACACTTTTCCATTTCTCCAAGGGGAGAAGGAATTCTGGTCTCCTTCTCCCTTTTTTTTTGCATTTTCCTCCTCGTGTGCCAACTATTCTGCTTAAAGACTTGTGGTACCAATTACTGGAATCAATTATTTTATTTTTCATTTCCACAGCACTGTAAGGTTTCCATAAAACAGAAACAGTTCCCAGCTTGTGGAAACTGCCACCACAGAAACTTCATCAAGCTCAGACCATAAAAAATTGAGGGGTCAGGGAAATAGCCTGTAACCCAACACAACAAATATCTCCAAAGCATTCAAAGAGGGAATAACTCAAATGCTGGAGCTGCAAAGTAGGTGAGCTCTACATCCAGTTCACTAGAGAATCAGGAGAGGGAATGATGGAGAGGAACTGAGTGCCAAAAAAACGGGAAAGGAGCGGGATCCCCTCAGCTGAGGCACCCCAGGCACCATCCCCACCTTCACTCCACTCAGTTCTCACACCTTGAGTATTTCTGCAGTGATGATGAACTCTGTCTGCTTGCCCTCCGAAGACTTGGAGCTTCCCCGGGATGTTCCCAGCCCCAGGAGGTTCCTGAACTTCTCCTTCAGCCCGGAATCCTTGCTCTGAGGCTTCGCCATGGCTGCCCAGCGCTGAGGCCCTGCAAACACAGAACAGGGCTTGGGTAAGGGAGGCCCAAGGCCCTGTTTTCAGCAGGGAAACCCCAATAACAGCATCACACCAGGCTTCTCCAAAGAGCTTGGGTGCCTTGAGCCTTTTCAAACATGGGAGAAGCCCAACACTGAGGAAACACAAGGAGCTTGTGCAGCTCTTGCCTTCAGCACCTGCATCCCCCACGGAACAGGGACCTTTGGGACACCCTTTCCTGGGAGCTCTGAATGCCCAGCCCAGCACACAGGCTGATTTTTGCAGTATTTCCACGCACACACACTTTTTGGAGGGTGTGAGCTGGACACTTGTTCCCCAAGCAAAGGCCAAGCACACTGTGCTGTGCTGTCGATGTGGAAGTGAGGAAGGACCCACAAATCTGAGTGCTGGAACATCCAAGTGCTGCCATGGCAAGGGAAAGATGGCGCAAGAACAGGGATGGCATTACAACAACAACTGCAGAAACTGCCTCCCCCTGCCCGACCCACTGTCCCTTGGGGACCCTGGCCCTGGGCACAGGACTCTGCACAACCCCAGAGCCCCATGGACATCCCATGGCCTTCCCACAGCCTGGCACAGCAATCCCTGCTGCTCCTGGGGATGCACCACACAGCCTGTCCCTGCATCCCAGGGCACATGGCACGGGCCCCGGCCCAGTGTCACCAGGGGACATGGCACAGACCCCAGCCCAGTGTCACCAGGGGACATGGCACGGACCTCAGCCCAGTGTCACCAGGGGACATGGCACGGACCTCAGCCCAGTGTCACCAGGGGACATGGCACGGACCCCAGCCCAGTGTCACCAGGGGACATGGCACAGACCCCAGCCCAGTGTCACCAGGGGACATGGCACGGACCTCAGCCCAGTGTCACCAGGGGACATGGCACGGACCTCAGCCCAGTGTCACCAGGGGACATGGCACAGACCCCAGCCCAGTGTCACCAGGGGACATACCACGGACACAGCCCAGTGTCACCAGAGGACATGCCATGGGCTTCTACCCAGTGTCACCAGGGGACACACCATGGACCCCAATCCAGTGTCACCAGGGGACACACCATGGACCCTAGCCCACCATCCCCGGGGACACACGCAGCCCCCAGCCCTCTGTCCCCAGGGACACTCGGAGTGCACCTCCCCGGGGACGCCCACAACCCTAGCCCACTCCGGGCGATGGCACATTGTCCCCCCACGACCCCTGAACAAGCCCGAACATGCCACATCCCACCCCAAGCCGGGACATGCCACATCCCACCCCAAATCCAAACACGCCACAACCCACCCCAAGCCGGGATATGCCACAAGCGCTTAGGGACACACAACGGGGGACACATCCCAGACCCCGAACACAATGGGAGTCACACCCCAGACCCCAACAAACACAACGAGGGTCACACTCCACACCCCAAACATACCGGGGGCCACACTACAGATCCCAAACACAACGGGGGTCACACCCAGACCCCAACAAACACAACGGGGGTCACACTCCAGCCCCCGAACACACCGGGGGTCACATCCCAGACCCCAAGAAACACACCGTGGGTCACAGCCGGGCCCCTCGGACACACAGCGGGCTCACAGCGCGGCCCCCAAGCGCGGTCCCCTCCCGGTGCCGGCTCCCCCGTCACTCACCCCGAGCCGAGCCCGGCCCGGCCCGGTCCCGCCGCCCCCGGCCCGCTCCGCTCGGGGCCCGGCGCCCGGTGCCCGGTGCCGGCCCCGCCCCGCGCTCGCCCCGCCCGTTCCGGCGGCCCCGGTGCGCCCCGGGCCCGGTAGTTCGCGGGGCCGCCATGAGCGCGGCCCGGCCCGGCCTGCGGCGGCTGCGCTCGGCCGGGGGCGGCGGGGGTACGGGCAGGGGACGGGGTGCGGGACAGGGCACGGGCAGGGGATGGGGTAGGGGCCTGGGAATGGGGTACGGGCAGGGGATGGGGTGCAAGACAGGGTACAGGACAGGGGAACTGGGGGTACGGGACAGGAGATCGGGGTACGGGACTGGGAATGGGGTATGGGAGAGGGGATGGGGTATGGACAGGGGATGGGGGTATGGATAGGGTTTGAGTGTACAGGCAGGGATTGGGGTATTGGATTGGGAATGGGGTACCGGAGAGGGAATGCGGTACCGGAGAGGGGATGGGGTACGGGACTCAGAATGGGGTACGGAAAAGGGATGGGGTACAGGCAGGGGATGGGGTGCAGAACAGTGTATGGGATGTACGGACAGAGGATCAAGGTATGGGCAGGGGATGGGGTACTGTTAGGGGATGGGGGTCTGGGTCAGAGGATGAGGATACAGGATGAGATGGAGAGTATGAAGGAGGGATCATGGCTTCCTGGGGTACGGGAAGAGGAGATTGAGGTCGTGGGGCGTGCAGGAGAGGGGAATTGCTGGTACGAGAAGGGGGAATCGGGGTGTGCTGGGCACGGGGAGCGGCTGGGGCTGCACCAGGCCCCGGCATGGCTGGGGACAGGGGCTGGGTGTCCTTGTCATGCCCCGCTCTGAGCGAGCAATGTGGCTGTCCCGGGGTTGGGGATGCACCTCCAGCAGTTTGGGACACTGTCCCCATGGTGTGACATGTGACCCCACTGTTGTCACCTGTTGCCACTTGTCTCACAGGTCCTTCTGCCCTCCCTCGCCCCTGCTGGCTCTGCTTGGGGCCGGGGGATGCTCAGTGTTTGGGTTGGGACTCAGGGCAGGGAACTCACCCTGGTCAGGGTCCCCTGGGCGGCTGGTGGCACATGGGGCTGTCACCGAGCTCTGTGCAGGCAGCTCTCCTGAACCTGGAGTCTCTGCCATCCATGCAGGCAGCCAGCTCCAGCGCACGCCCGCGGTGCCGAGGCAGAGCAGGAGGAGGAAGAGCGTGGCCATTGCCTATGAAGCAGGGCAGGGCGAGGGCGCCGAGCCGCGCTGGGAGCCGCCGCGCTGGCGGGAGCAGCTGCAGCGCATCCGCCAGATGAGGAGCGGCAGGGATGCTCCCGTGGATGAGATGGGAGTGCACAGGTGCTACGACACCAGCGCGCCTCCAGAGGTAACCCTGGCATTCCATGGGGGCAGCATTCCCACAGGGAGCAGCATCCACAGGGAACAGCATTCCCACAGGGAGCAGCATCCACAGGGAACAGCATCCACAGGGAACAGCATTCCCACAGGGAGCAGCATCCACAGGGAACAGCATCCACAGGGAACAGCATTCCCACAGGGAGCAGCATCCACAGGGAACAGCATCCACAGGGAACAGCATTCCCACAGGGAGCAGCATCCACGGGTGACAGCAATCCCATAGGGAGCAGCATTCCCACAGGGAACAGCATTCCCATAGGGAACAGCATCCACGGGTAATGGCATTCCCACAGGGATCAGCATTCCCACAGGGAACAGCATCCACGGGTGACAACATTCCCACAGGGAACAGCATCCACAGAGAACAGCATTCATGGGTGACAGCATTCCCACAGGTGACAACATTCCCACAGGGAACAGCATCCACGGGTAACAGCATCCCTGGGTGACAGCTCTGGCAGGCACAGGAGAACCCAGCCTCCCTCGTCCTCCTGCTGCCCCTGGATCTGTCCCACTTGGGATGTTTCCAGGACAGAAACGGGATCAGGATCAGGGCTGGGATTGGTCCCAGAGGATGTGATGGATGTGAGGGGCAGTGCTGCTTTATGGAGCAGGTTGGCAGGGCGTGAAGCCATGTTCGTTTTTCCCTAAAAATCTCTGTAGGAGTTCAGGGAAGGTATCCAGCAAGGTGGCTGTGGAATGCAGAGGAATGTGTGGGGCAGGCTTGGAGGGGCAGTGGGAGGCACTGGAGTGGGAATGTGGGGATCACAGGACCCCAGAATTGATCGGGTTGGAAGTGGCTTTGGAGACTGACTAATCCAACCCCACAGACCTGGAGCCTCTGGAGTGGGAACGTGGGGATCATCCAGAGGGGCGGTGGGACGTGCTGGGCTCTGAGGGAGGGCTCTGGAGGACACAGCTGGACAGCCCTGGCACAGGGAATGCTGCCCTTGCTGCTCCCTGGGCAGAAGGATGAGCTGTGACCCCGGAGCCAGGCAGCATCACACGCTCTCGGCCGCGTGGGCTGGCAGCTGTGGGACCACATGGAAATAGCTTCTCTTCCCTGGGGAAGCTGCCTTGCTGCTTCCAAGAAAAAGTGGATGTTGTAACCCTCAGCTCCTCACACCATTTCTCTGTACCCTGAGATTATCCTGCTTCCATGCATGCAGGGATTTTTCCTGGTGCACCTGGTTTTGCAAACTTTGCAGGAGAGCTGGAGGGAGGATTGTGTCCCACGTTGTCCAGGGTCATTGTGGGTTAGTTGCATCATCCTCCTCACTCTGGTGGGATGGAATCACATCTGGGAAGAAAGACTTGGGAAATAGGAGGTGATGGCCTGGCTTAACCCTGCATGGCAGCAGCAGAGGAATTCCTGGGATTTGTCTTCCTTCTCCCAGTCTCTCATCCCAGTTGTTCAGATTTGGTTCCCTGGGAGTTCACTGGAGCCAGATACCAGTTCCTACTGAAGGCTAGTGGGAAAGGACTGGGATTTTCAAAAGCTGCTTAGAGCAGACATTGCATGAAAAATCATTGGCTGTTTGTGCCTGTGCATCCTGTGGCTCTCCTGGGAATGCCATCCTCAGGAAAAGCTTTCTCCAGCCCTTTGTGGCTCAGCACTGATGTCTTTGGAGTGAGATCCCAGCAGGCAGAGCTGCTCCCTGCCCTCTCGCAGGAGCTGACAGCTGAGCTTGAGGGGTTTCCTTGTCTCCATTTATTGTGTGGTGGAATTAGAAGGTTATGGATTATTCCTGTTGGTTATGGGTTATTCCTGTTGCAGCCTTCCAGTCTCTTGGAGGCAGATAGGGCTGAAGGGTGGGAGCACACCCTGCCCTGGGGGTGGTGCAGAGCTGCTGGATGCCCCCAGGGTATCTCAGTGTCCCCTGTGTCCCCAGGTGAGGCGGTACCAGGTGCTGCTGGCCCTGATGCTGTCCAGCCAGACCAAGGACCAGGTGACGAGCGCTGCCATGCTGCGCCTGCGCCGGCGCGGCCTCACCGTGGACAGCGTGCTGCAGATGGATGAGGAGAGCCTGGGCCACATCATCTACCCCGTGGGCTTCTGGAGGGTCAGTGCTGGTCTGATCTTTTAGGGTTTTCTAAGCTTTTTGATGGTTACATTCTTGTAAGGAACTTTCTTACACATTTCATTTAAATAATGTATTGTTTTCTATTTTTTTATGGAAGAAATTTGATGGATTGTTGATTTGTCTAGTGTCATTGGAGAGGTGGCACTGTCACCCTCCAATCCACCATCACTTTTAAAAATCTATAAATGTTAGAGTCAAAAATTGAAAAGTCTCTTTTTGCCTTGGAAAGAGCAGTGTGTCCACATTGTATTATTTCATGTCCTGTAGTGACAGGTGAGTGCAGCATTGCCACATGGACACAGGAACTCCTGTGCCCTCCTCTCTCCCCTGGTGTCAGGCTAGAAGCTGGATTTTACGCCAGTTTTGGCACTTTGTATTGCCAGCAGGATGGGATTGTTGGCCGCAGGGCCTGTGCAGGAGGAGGTTGGAGCTCCCCAGCTCTCAGCATTTTCATTTCATGTAGAAGTGGAGGCTCTTTCTCCTGCACCGCTCCCATGTGTGGCCTCGCCTGTAACACACGCTCAGGAATGGTTGCTTTCCTGGGCTGTGTGTTTGTTTCCCTGTGTTGCAGGGCAGCTTGGACTGTGTGCTTTCCCCTTGGCTTTGCAGAACAAGGTGAAGTACATCAAGCAGACCACGGCCATCCTGAAGCAGAAATACGGAGGGGACATCCCGAGCACTGTGGAGGAGCTGGTGCAGCTGCCAGGAGTTGGGCCCAAAATGGCCCATCTGGCCATGCACATAGCCTGGGACAGCGTGGCTGGGATAGGTAACCTGTGCTTCTCCCATCCCTCTCCTAAACCCAGCCCATCCCCAGGCAGAGGGGCAGCAGTGCAGCCCCAGCAGCCTGCTAACACCCCTTTGGTCCAGTATCTGGCTAAGGGAGTGATGTGACACTCAGCACTCACCCAGGGAGCTGCAGGATGTGAGCAGCTGCTGTTCCTCCCCAAATCTGATAACAGACATCCCCAAGGGAAGTCACAGCCCTGGGGAGCTGGTGCCAGATGGGGCTGGAGGTCCTGGGGTCCTGCAGGTCCTGCCCTGGGGCCCCTGGGGACAGAGGAGTGTTCCAGAAGGATGGGAGAGCCCTGGGAAAGGCAGGAGCAGCGGGTGGGCGGGAGCTGGAGCCTGCAGCCCCAATGGTGACCATCAGCTGGACAGGCCGTGGCCCCTGCCCTGCATCCAGCAGCCCTTGGGGTCTGTTGTTCCCCTGCTGTGGGGGAGGGAAGTCCAGAGGCAGCCAAAGCAGCCAAGTGCTTTCCAAATAATTGTGTGCTCGGGTTTGATTTGGGAGGCAAGGCTCAGTCTTCCTGTTTACAGCAATTTCCTGGGTTTTGCCCAATTAGCCCCAGAGACAGGTTTATCACCGCTGATCTAACAATAATACACTTTGCATGCAGAGCTTTTGAGCTCAAAGCACATTATAAACACTGCTTTAAGCCTCCCAAGCCCTCTCTGCTGGTGGGTATTATGAAATGTGTTTTCCGTGCGGGCAGAGGAAGGGGCAGAGAGCACAGTTTGCGTAACTCAGCTGAAACTCGGGGAGGATGGGAACGTGCAGAGGGAGCGGGGGCCAGGCCTGTGCCTGCTCCATGGGGCTGGGGAGCCTTGGGAGAGGCTGTGTGAGCCTGGGGAGGGACAGACAGACACCCACCCCAAATGCTTTTGGCTGCAGGCCTGGGAAGAAAATGTTTGTCCTTGGAGTGAGGCTCCCCTGCCCTGTGCTCTGTCCCAGCTGGGTGCTCTGCTGCCCCAGGGGCTGCCTGGGGGCTGTGACAGACACCTGGGCTCTGCTCTGTGCCCTTGTCCTGGGGCTGTGACAGACACCTGGGCTCTGCTCTGTCCCCTTGTCCTGGGGCTGTGACAGAGCTGGGGCTCTGCTCTGTCCCCTTGTCCTGGGGCTGTGACAGACACCTGGGGCTCTGCTCTGTGCCCTTGTCCTGGGGCTGTGACAGACACCTGGGCTCTGCTCTGTGCCCTTGTCCTGGGGCTGTGACAGACACCTGGGCTCTGCTCTGTGCCCTTGTCCTGGGGCTGTGACAGACACCTGGGCTCTGCTCTGTCCCCTTGTCCTGGGGGCTGTGACAGACACCTGGGGCTCTGCTCTGTGCCCTTGTCCTGGGGCTGTGACAGACACCTGGGGCTCTGCTCTGTCCCCTTGTCCTGGGGCTGTGACAGACACCTGGGCTCTGCTCTGTGCCCTTGTCCTGGGGCTGTGACAGACACCTGGGGCTCTGCTCTGTCCCCTTGTCCTGGGGCTGTGACAGACACCTGGGCTCTGCTCTGTGCCCTTGTCCTGGGGCTGTGACAGACACCTGGGCTCTGCTCTGTGCCCTTGTCCTGGGGCTGTGACAGAGCTGGGGCTCTGCTCTGTGCCCTTGTCCTGGGGCTGTGACAGACACCTGGGCTCTGCTCTGTGCCCTTGTCCTGGGGCTGTGACAGAGCTGGGGCTCTACTCTGTCCCCTTGTCCTGGGGCTGTGACAGAGCTGGGGCTCTGCTCTGTGCCCTTGTCCTGGGGCTGTGACAGACACCTGGGCTCTGCTCTGTGCCCTTGTCCTGGGGCTGTGACAGACACCTGGGCTCTGCTCTGTCCCCTTGTCCTGGGGGCTGTGACAGACACCTGGGGCTCTGCTCTGTGCCCTTGTCCTGGGGCTGTGACAGACACCTGGGGCTCTGCTCTGTCCCCTTGTCCTGGGGCTGTGACAGACACCTGGGCTCTGCTCTGTGCCCTTGTCCTGGGGCTGTGACAGACACCTGGGCTCTGCTCTGTGCCCTTGTCCTGGGGCTGTGACAGACACCTGGGCTCTGCTCTGTCCCCTTGTCCTGGGGCTGTGACAGACACCTGGGCTCTGCTCTGTGCCCTTGTCCTGGGGCTGTGACAGAGCTGGGGCTCTGCTCTGTGCCCTTGTCCTGGGGCTGTGACAGACACCTGGGGCTCTGCTCTGTGCCCTTGTCCTGGGGCTGTGACAGACACCTGGGCTCTGCTCTGTGCCCTTGTCCTGGGGCTGTGACAGACACCTGGGGCTCTGCTCTGTCCCCTTGTCCTGGGGCTGTGACAGACACCTGGGCTCTGCTCTGTGCCCTTGTCCTGGGGCTGTGACAGACACCTGGGGCTCTGCTCTGTCCCCTTGTCCTGGGGCTGTGACAGACACCTGGGCTCTGCTCTGTGCCCTTGTCCTGGGGCTGTGACAGACACCTGGGCTCTGCTCTGTGCCCTTGTCCTGGGGCTGTGACAGAGCTGGGGCTCTGCTCTGTGCCCTTGTCCTGGGGCTGTGACAGAGCTGGGGCTCTACTCTGTCCCCTTGTCCTGGGGCTGTGACAGAGCTGGGGCTCTGCTCTGTGCCCTTGTCCTGGGGCTGTGACAGACACCTGGGCTCTGCTCTGTGCCCTTGTCCTGGGGCTGTGACAGACACCTGGGCTCTGCTCTGTCTCTCTGTGCCTGCCCCAGCTGAACTCTGGCTCTCCCTCCCCAGCTGTGGACACCCACGTGCACAGGATCTCCAACAGGCTCCAGTGGGTGAAGAAGGAGACCAAGAGCCCCGAGCAGACTCGGGTGGCACTGGAGGAGTGGCTGCCCAGGTGAGGCCCTGTGTCTGCACTCAGCCCTGCTTGGGGCTGCATTTTGGCTCCTTGCTCCTTTCAGGCTCGCAGTGTTTCCCCTCTGCCCAAGCCACAGCAGCAATATCTCACCTGTGTGGAGGCTCTGTTGTTATCAGGTGGATCAGTCACCACCATTGCAGCTCCTGACCCCTGATTTTTGCCTGCCAGGTTTACCATGACCCAGGCCAGGTGTTGGTCCTTGCTGAGCCCAGTGGCCAGAGCAGCAGGGCTGGATCCTGGCCTCACTGGTGGTTGTTGTTCAGTATCAAACACGGCTGGCACAGAGGGGCATCCCCACACCTGGCACGTGCCTGAGCACAGGCACTGCTCCCCCCAGCCCAGCAGGACCAGGAAGGGTTGGGAGGGCTGTTCCAGCAGGGATCTAGCAGGGCTGGCAGGGCTGGGACTCACCTCCAGGAAGGGGAAAGAAAGGGACCCCATTAACACCACAGGCTGTTCTCACCCTTCCAAGCTGCATGGCAACGGTGCTGTTTGTCTCCTCACTGCAGGGACCTCTGGAAGGAGATCAACTGGCTCCTCGTGGGCTTTGGGCAGCAGACCTGCCTGCCTGTGAGCCCTCGCTGCAGCCAGTGCCTCAACCAAGACATCTGCCCTGCTGCCAGGAGACCCTGAGGGACCATCCAGCCTTGGCAGAGCCACAGAGCTGCTCGGGCCTGGCACAGGGCTGGCAGTGTGGCCGCAGGGACAGGAGCCTGCTCAGCAGCTCCAGGAACAGCCACCGGCCACGGCTCAGCTCTGCAGAGGAAAAAGGGGCTTGGAGAGGCAGCAATCCTGCTGGGACAGAGCTGCAGGCTCCAGCCTGGCTGAATGGCTGAGCACAGCCCAGCTGTGCCACTCTGAGTCACTGCAGGGAAAAGCTTTGTCCTCAGGGAGCTGCTGCTGCTGCTTGTAAATACTGCTTAATAAAGGTGGTGAGGGCTTTTTGCACCCACGAGGTCTGCTGGCATTTGTGTGGCACTGGCTGAGGGGAGGAGAACGTGGGTGACCTGAGCAGGGCTGAACCATGGCAACCCTGCCAGGCTGAGAGCAGGCAGCACAACCTGCCCAGCCCTGCCACAGAACCGACCACAGGACAGGAGCTGGGCCAGGGGACATCCAGGGTGCACAGCAGCAGGAATTCCTTGGTGGGAAAGGTTGTTAAGCACTGGGAGGGCTGCACAGGAGGGTGGTGGTGGAGCTCCCATCCCTGGAGGTGTCCAGGGAAGGCCTGGATGTGGCACTCAGAGCTCTGGGGATGGGGAATAGGTGGGGATGGGGACGAGGTAGGGATGGGGACAAGGTAGGGAATGGGGCACAGGTTGGACTTGATGATCCTGGAGATCTCTTCCAGCCTTGGTGATCCCGAGGTGCAGCTGGAGCCTTCCCAAGGCAGGAGCAGAGGAGTCCCTGCTGGATGAGCCATCCCTGGCTGCTGGGTGATGCACAGCATCACCAGTGCCACTCTGTGTGCCACAAGGGTCACACAGCCACGGGAGCCGGGCTGTGTCCCCAGGAGCTGGCAGGGACAGCACCACCCCTGCGTTTTGTTCTTCAAAGAAAGGGCAGTGCTGACTTCATTGTGGAGCTTCAAAGGGCAATTCCAGCTCCTCTCCGAAGAGGAAGCAAAGTTTACAATGTGCTGGAGGGCTGCAGTTCCGCCCAGGGCTCCCTGAGCAGCTGAGGAAGGAGCAGATAAGTGCTGGGTACATGGCAAACCAAGTTTATTACTGACATTACAGTGTACATACGGGTTTGCAATGCTGCTGCCAGCCTTAGACTTTATTGATTTTTCTTTTCCAAGTTAAATGTACAGGAACTGAATAATTACTACTGAGCTACAACAAGATGTCAGGAATGCAGTAATGCTTCAACCAGGAGCAGTTTCCTTGCACTGACAGATTAAGATTTGCAATCTTACCAACACGGATTTGCACGCCTGATTTCTTTTGATCTACATTCAACACTACACAAGGTTTGTTTTTTTTCCTTTCTCCCCTCAAGTCCAGCAGTCTGGGCTGAGGAATGGGGCGTTGACACCAGGTCTGTGCTCTCTGATGGGCACCAGGGTGTCCTGGGGCTGCCCTGCCCTGCACAGCCCGGGCACTGCCGGGGTTTGGCAATGTGGGCACAGCATGGGAAAGAGGGGCTCCTTCCAAACATCACCCAGACAGAGAAAACAGTATTTTGGGGGTCAAAAAGAGAGCAGGTAGCTTGAAGTGGGATGGGAAGAGGTGTCTGGCTAATGGCAGAGCCCCGAGGGGAGGCAGCCTCTCCACATCCCCATCACCCCCATGTCCTGTCTCATCACCCGCAGCCAAACCTGCACCAGCTCCTCTCCAAAGCCGTTATTTCCAACCTGTTCAGCCCATCGACAATCCTCAAAGATCACTTTCATAAAGAGAACTCATCTCCTTTCCCCCTGAGGCTCTCCACGCTCTCCTGCCAGCAGCACAAGGCCAGGGGCACCAGCTGCTGCCCAGGGCAGCCCAACACCCTGTGCTGAGCCCCAGCCCCTGCCGAGGAGAGCAGAGCATGGCATAAGGCACCTTTAGCTCCACAATCTGGGGATTCCTTGGGAAATCCGTGCAGAGCCGTTCCCACACCCGCAGCACGCTGCCCAGCCAGGGGCTCCATCCCAGAGGGGCTGAGTGAGGCAGGGCGCAGCTCTGCGCTCACCCCTCATCCACTGATCACTGATCCCAGCTGGGAACAGGGGCTCTGTGCCCCCAGCCCCTCCCCAGAGCAGGGCTGGGGTCCTGCAGGGGCAGGGGAGCAGTGGGGCAGCCCCAGCCCTGTAACCCAGCTCTGCTCCCTCAGCTCAGCTGGGCCACCTTCACCCACACACCCAGAGGGAACAATAAAGAGATTAAAGGACTCATCTGTAGTGCTTTAGATACACTCTGAATGGCCAGAGCGGGTTTGGAGGAGGCCAGGGGTGCTGCCCACGCCATCACAGCAGGGCCTGCTGCACCTGCAGCCCCAGGGACACCCAGGGCTCTGGAGGATTCCTTTGGGGGATTCCTTTGGGGGATTCCTTTGGAGGGTGTCCTTTGGAGGGTGTCCTTTGGAGGGTGTCCTTCCCACGGTGACACTGCCAGGCTGGGGACACCAACCCAGCTGCATCCCTGGGGTCTCTCCTGGCAGCAGATGTGGGCTCAGCCCCACTGCCAGGCCTGTCCAGACGGGTTTGTAGCATCTCGTGGTTCTCATCTTGGTGCTCCGTGGGGCAGGACTGGCCCTGCTGCTCCTGCCACATCCACAGCTGCATTGGGGGAGAGCTGTGTTCTCAGGGCTTGGGGTTTGCTTTTAAACCCTCTCCCCTCTGCAGAGCTGCTTGGGGTGAAAATGGGCTTTTAATGGGCTTTACTGCCTGGGCAGGAGCTGCTGCTGAGGGGGAGGCTCCTAAACTAACTGGAAACACATGGACTTCATTAAAAAACAAACAAAAAAACCCAACAAAACAAATGTTTTTGCTTCAACAGCAAAGCCAACGAACAATTTCCAGCCACATCCATTTTCCCATGGTGGGAGCAGCTGACGCTGGGTACAGGGAGCTGGGGAGGGGGTTCCTGGCTCCCCCACCATGAGCCATGAGATGCTTCCACAGGGGCACTGAGCATCCCACGGGGCTCAGCCTGGGACACCCACAAAGCCAAAACACCCCACGTAAAAAGTAAAAAAAAAGAAGTAACAGAAGCCTAAATGCTGCAGGTAAGAAAGAAGAGTTAAAATTCTTCCAGTCCTTTCTCATAGAACAGGGACGGCAGGCAGCCGGAGCCAGGCTCAGAGCAAGCAAGAAAAGGAGCTTTGGTCACATTTTTCTTATGAGAATCGCTGGTGAGTAACAATAATAATAATAATAACAACAATAATAATAATAAAAAATAAAAATAAAAAGGGCTTTAAAATACGCCTTGTAAAAGCAACCAGTGAAGAGCAGAGCACAAAGCATCTCACGTGGACACCGAAGGACAGGCGTAGGCACCTCAGAAAGGTCCGAGCTGGGCGGGAGGGAGGGCTCAGAAATTGCTGAAAATCTCCCGTTTCTTGTTCCAGTCCATCTGCGGCGCTCGCTTCTTCACTCGCTTGGCCCTCACCTTCTCCTTGGCCTCGGCCGCCGTGGGGCTCAGGCTCAGCCCACTCTCCTCAAACGGGTCCTTCTTGTCCGTGTCACCGTCCTGGAAGGGACACGGCTGCCAGCGCTGCCGGGCACTGCAGTGCTCAGGGCCCCTCAGGGCACCAGAGAGGCTGCAAACCCCCAGGATCACCCCATGGCACAGCACTGCAGTGCCCAGGGCCCCTCAGGGCATCACCAAAGATGGAAACCCCTCAGGATCACCAGCTGCGCCCCATGCCATGGCACTGCAGTGCCCAGGGCTCCTCAGGGCACTAAAGAGGCTGAAAACCCCCAGGATCACCAGCTGTGCCCCATGCCAGGGCACTGCAGTGCCCAGGGCTCCTCAGGGCACTAAAGAGGCTGAAAACCCCCAGGATCACCAGCTGCGCCCCATGGCACAGCACTGCAGTGCCCAGAGCCCCTCGGGGCACCAGAGAGGCTGCAAACCCCCAGCATCATCTGCTGTGCCCCATTCCAAAGTGCCCACAGCCCCTCAAAGCATCCCTGGGCTGCAAACCCCCCAGCTGTGCCCCATGCCATGGCACTGCAGTGCCCACAGCCCCTCAGGGCATCCCCAGGCTGCAAACCCCCCAGCTCTTCCCTCATCCTGGGACCCCTGTGAGCACGGTCACACCCAGGGTGGCTCAGGGGACACCCAGGCTGCCCAGAGGACAGGACACAGCCCGGGTCTCCCAGCACACACCATTGCAGCAGGCCATGCATTATTCACAGGGACAGGGGCAGATTGCAGGCGCCTGGCACAGCTGCTGCCCGAGAGGCTCTGGGTGCTCTCAGAGGCCACCTGAGCACCTGGGGCTGGCTCATTGCTGCTGGGCACCTGCAGGGACACTCTGCTCTATTTATAGCAGAACATTGTGCTGAAGATAAATTTCTGAGCACTCTGCAAATCCCCGCTTCTTATTTTAAGAGGAAAAAACCTGCTGAATTATTAACTGAGAATGCCAATCTATGCCTTGTGTTGATTTTTGGTTGCCACTTCACCTTGCCCAACAAGTTTTGCCCCTTTCCAGTGCTGAGCCACATCACAGAAACCCCTTCAGCCCAGCCTGGCAGCAAAAACAACTCCTCCCTTCATTTAAACACTGTGATAAATTCTCTGTGCTCCAAACTAAAAAAAAATAGAAATTAAAAATATTAAATAAAGCCAATTCTGCCTTTTGTCCTGCTAGCAGCTCTTGAGCCTCACAGCTGTGTTCCTCATGGGTTCCCTGCCTTGCTGTGGCTCATCAGTGTAATTAGCTGAGATCCCAAATCCTGCAGACATCCCTTCACCTCCCAAATTATCCAAGCAGGAATCACTGCCAGTTAATCTCCCCAGTGCAAGGGATGAGAGCAAAGCCTGGATTTTGGTTGTTGGGTGGGTACAATGAACCCAGATCTGGGAGATAAACTGGAACCTCCTCACTGCACAGCCCAGTGGGGCAGGATGGAGGGGACACGAGGTGTGCAGGGGACAGGAGATGTTGGTTTGGGCTTTTTACCTCGGATTCCTTCCCAGGGCTCTGCAGGTCGCTGTGAGATGAAGATGTGGATCCCCCGTTCAGCTGGAGGAAAGGAAAATGTCAGTGTGGTGTGAGCCAGGCGGAGCTGGACACAATAAACCCCCAGGGATGGGATGGGATGGAGCCTGCAGGGATGGAGCTGCTGAGGGGTCCCTGCACACAGGGGAGCCCCTGGGACCCCACAGAACCCCCCAGCCCCAGCAGAACTGGGATACTGCACCTCCTCCTCTCCCCCTGGGACTAAATGGGGCTGGAACTGCCCTGGTTCAAGCCCTGAATTAAAGCTGCAGTGGGCAGTAATTAAAAGCAGGCAGCAATTAAAGCAGGCAGCAATTAAAAGCAGGCAGCAATTAAAGCAGGCAGCAGCAAAGCTGAGCTAAACAAGCCCTGGGGACCTGAGCATCAGCAGGGACAGCCCCTGGTCCCTCCTGCCCTCTCTGGGGCAGGTGAGGACTCACCTGGGTCTGCGCAGATCCATTTGTCATGGGCTGGGGTGGCACACCTGGGCACAGCAAACACACACAGAGCACACAGTGAGCACCCTGAGCAGCAGCACCTGGCACCCACCCACCCTTCCTGCCCTGCCCACCCCCCAGCTCACCCTGCCCCTCCACTCTGGGCTGTTCCCAGCCCACACAGAAGCCTTTGTCCTCTCCCTGTGCCCTTCTAGACCCACATCCCCTGAACTCACTCCACCCTTCTGATCAGAGGAAAACACCTGCCAGGAGGAGGACCAAGTAACCTCCTTCTGGAGCCACCATCCTGCCCTTTTTTCTATTTTTTTTTTTTACCTTTTTTTCCATAAATTCTTTAATCAAAAATCTTAAAAGCCAGCTCAAAAACCTTCATCAAAATCCCCATCGTGGTGCTGCCACAGCAGTGTCTGCCACACAACCCCCTCTCCAGGCACTCTGGAATTTAATTTTTTTTTTTTTTTGCTCACTTCCAATGATTTACTCCAACAATAGCCCACACAATGGCAATTTCATGCATTTAAGCTGCCAGTCACCACGATCAAGTCACTGCCCCAGGCATTACCGTGTCTCTGTCCCAGACTAACAGATGTGTTAATTGGGACAGGATTAATAACTGCATCATGTCAAGCATGGATGCTTTCCCTAGGGACTGACTGGGGGCTGCATCACTGCAGACTGCAGGAATTTCTGGGGCAAAGCAGAAAAATAAAACTAAACCATGATTTTTGAGAGTGTGCTGGTGCAAAAACCTCCGTGTGGCTTTGGGATCCTTAAATATTTTATTGCAGTGAATGCTGGACTCGTGCTTAGAGCAGGATAAGCTCTGAGCAACGAGCATCAGAAGAGTCAGCTCACACAGATGTTTATGTCTCTGGTATCATAAGTAGCTAAATTTTAAATTATTTAAATGAAAAGCTTCAGATGTCAAGGAATAGAAAAGTGGGACTGGACTTCAAACCCAAATTAGCCATATCTGGAAAGGCTTCATCTAAAAGCCACTCCTTTGGTTAAAGGCTGAGGGGCTCAGGGTGAGCTGCAGGGCTTGGGAAGTGTCAGTGTGAGCTCAAAGCAGCTCAGTTCAAGAGGACAACAATAATAATAGTAATAGTAATAGTAATAATAATAATAATAATAATTATAAAATTTATAAAATAATAATTATAAAATAATAAAATATTATAATAAATATTATCTAATAAGTTATTATTATAAACTGATAAAATATTATAATAATAGAATTTATTATTATTATTACTATTACTATTATTATTATTATTTCCTCTCACCCTGCAAACAGCAGAATTTCCCAGAGCCCTTTGTTACCTGGCAGGTGCCAAACTCTGCTCCCTGTGAATGCTGGAGCCCCCAGGCTCCCTCCCCAGTCCCCTGCTGGAACAAGGGCTCCTTTGTGGCAGTGCCAGCAGCCAGCCCTGCTCCTCCTGCAGCATCTGACACCCTGTGGCTCCCCAGCAGTGCCTGACCCATTTCTGGGGACAAATCTGCCCATTGAGCATCCCGGGGCTCAGATAAGGAGCAGCTGTGCTGGGAAACAGAGCTGGGCATTGAGCAGGGCACGGCCAGGCTGGGCAGGGGATGAGCAGCTTTCCCTGCCAGGTTACTGCAGCCAGGAGAACAATTCCTGCCCCAGCCAGGAGAACGATTCCTGCCCCAGCCACGAGAACGATTCCTGCCCCAGCCACGAGAACGATTCCTGCCCCAGCCACGAGAACGATTCCTGCCCCAGCCAGGAGAACGATTCCTGCCCCAGCCAGGAGAACGATTCCTGCCCCAGCCACGAGAACGATTCCTGCCCCAGCCAGGAGAACGATTCCTGCCCCAGCCAGGAGAACGATTCCTGCCCCAGCCAGGAGAACGATTCCTGCCCCAGCCACGAGAACGATTCCTGCCCCAGCCACGAGAACGATTCCTGCCCCAGCCACGAGAACGATTCCTGCCCCAGCCAGGAGAACGATTCCTGCCCCAGCCAGGAGAACGATTCCTGCCCCAGCCACGAGAACGATTCCTGCCCCAGCCAGGAGAACGATTCCTGCCCCAGCCAGGAGAACGATTCCTGCCCCAGCCAGGAGAACGATTCCTGCCCCAGCCAGGAGAACAATTCCTGCCCCAGCCACGAGAACGATTCCTGCCCCAGCCAGGAGAACGATTCCTGCCCCAGCCACGAGAACGATTCCTGCCCCAGCCAGGAGAACGATTCCTGCCCCAGCCAGGAGAACGATTCCTGCCCCAGCCAGGAGAACGATTCCTGCCCCAGCCAGGAGAACGATTCCTGCCCCAGCCAGGAGAACGATTCCTGCCCCAGCCATGCCCTGCTCAGCCAGCGTGCAGCCCTTCCCTCTGCACAGGGACTCTCCAGTGCTCAGGGGCTCCTTCACTGGAGCAAAGAGCAACAGAATCACAGAATCGTGGAGTGATTGGGGTTGGAAGGGAGCTTAAAGCTCACCCAGGGACACCTTGCACTGGAACAGCCCTGCCCTGTCCAACCTGGCTTTGAAGGGTCCCCCCAATGATGATGACGATAAATCATCAACCAATCACCCACCAAATTTTACATTCTTGCAGCTGATAAAAATCATGGCACTGAAGATGTCCAGGTGGCTGCCACACACACCCAAGGACAAAGACTTAGTCCTACCCTCACTGTTAGTTTTTGCTGGGTACATCCATGCAAGCACCCGTGCTCCAGTACCCCAAAGCCCAGCACACCTCAGTGCCTCGGAGTTCCAGAGTTAATTATTCACCGTGTAAAAGCCACAGAGTGCTTTTTGGCAGGGGGAGGGTTTATTCTCAGTGTTTATAAATAGCTGGGTGGTTCTCAGGAAACCAGTGAGGGATGAGGCAGGAGGGAAATGTGACTGCGCTGGGATCTGGGATCCCACCGTGAGTCACCCTGGGAAGGGAAGGGAAGGGAAGGGAAGGTCTCACCTTTGCTGTGCTCCTCCGTGGGGGTCACCCCCAGCTTCTTGAAGTACTCGTCTGTCTCGGGGTCCACCACGAGCAGCCTGGCCTCGCTGTCCCTGGCCTTGATGTGGGACACCACCTCCGAGTGCCGCAGCCCCTCCACGTTTATCCCGTTCACCTGCACAGGGACAGCATCACAGCCCAGCCCACAGGGCTGCTCCTGCTCCCAGAACCCCCCTTCCCTAAGGTTTCCTTTCTTTATTCCTGCTGGGACTGTGGCATTTTCCTTTCTCTGTTCCTCTTGGGATGACAGGAAGGCTACAGGCTTTTTCCTTCTCCCTCTCCTAACCCCACCCAGAGCATCCTCCGTGTTACCTCAAACCTCCGGCTGCATCCCAAACACATCCATGGGCAACCACAGACTCCAGGCTCCCCCAAAACCCTCTGCCTGCCCTCTCTGGTGCTGCCAAGCCCAGCTTTCCCCTTGGATGTGCCCCAAATCTCCCCGTGGGCACAGGGGGCTGGGTGCACCCCCGTGTCCTGGGGCATCACTGTGCCACCCTCCATCCCTCTGGAGGGAAAACCTGAGATTTCTGTGCCCCTGACGGGCGAGTCCCTGTGCCTGGGGCAGGGATTCATCCCTCCCTGCCCTGCCCTGCGTGAGAGCCAGGACCTCCAGGGAACCCGATCCCGATTGTTCCTGCAGGAGGGGACAATGGTGACTCAGGACATTGTTCGGTGAATGAATCACCCTTTGTCCCACCGGGAAGGGCCCGACAGCCTCGGCATGACCCAGGGCTGCTCCTCATCCAAAGGGACGAGCAGAGCCTGGGCTCCACACTTGGGGTCCCCTCTGCAGGGAACCAGGCTCCCCTGCTCCCCAGGGCACAGCTGCAAGGCTGGGGTGAGAATAAACCCCTTCCAACCCCTTCCAGGCTCTGCCCCTCGTGCCAGGTGCTGCCAGCCTCAGCTGCCAGCTCACAGCCCTGCTCCATCCCTGTCCTGCCACTCCAGCTCACCCCAATCCATGCCAGGGCTGCTCTCCCCCACCCTGGCACAGAGCTGGGGGCATCAAATATTTATCCCAGCCCCAAAGGGCAGGCAGGGAGGGGATCGGGTTTCTGAGCTCACCCCGAGCTGCTTTGTGTGTGCCAGGCCCCGGGCCAAGCCCATCAATAAATAACAGGACCCCTGGATGTGACACCAGCCCGGCAGTGCCACCCGTGCCCGGCCCGGCCCCACGCTGTCCCAGCATTAAACTTTCAGCTGCTGGGACAGGCACAGCTCCCACTGCCTGGGCAGTAGTTCCTCATGGGGCTGGAGAGCAGGAGAGAGCTCTGCTCCCAGGATTATCCCAGCTCACACTCTTGCAGGGGTGCCAATCCCATTCCTGCTCTGAGCCGGCAGCGAGGTTTCTGTGGGGTGGTTTTGGGGTTCAGCCCAAGCAGGGGATATCCATGTGCTCCCACAGGGAAAGGGGGGATGGCTGCTGTGTCTGTCCCTCTGCCCACACAGGCAGCTCTGGATGGGGGCACCTCCTTCTCCAGGAACAACACAACATTACAATCCAAAGAGAGGGCAATTCCCAGCCCCATCTTGGCAAGAAGTGCTGTCCAGCACGTGATAACCAGAGAGATGCTTCCAAGAACACTTTTTCCCCATCTTCCATAATTTTGTGTCTTAAAATCTCTGCAAAGCCTCTTCCCCTATGTTTCCAAGCACTCCCTGGCAGGGCATCAGCTCAGCTGGGCAGCACCAGCCTGGCCCTGTGCCCACTGTCCCCTGCCCGACGCTCCCTGGTGCCAGCCAGAGCCAGCACAGCACCTTGGGGACGCAGCTGGGGAATGGCAGGACTCAGCAGTCTTGGAGGGCTTTTCCAGCCTAAGAACAGCTCCAAATTTCTACTCTGTAATCCTCCCCAGAGCTCCCACTTGGAGGAGAGGAGCGAGCACAGAGCCGTGCCATCCCTGGCACCCCAATTACAGCAACACAGGGGATCAGCTGGGGAAGGTGACGGGCTGGGGGCTGTCCCGGCTTGCCCAGGGTCCCACCCTGCTGCTGCCCCCTCGCTGTTACCTCCACCAGGCGGTCCTGGGGCCGCAGCCCTGCCCTGGCTGCGGGGGAATCGGGATCCACGGAGCGGATGAACTGCCCCGGCCGCGACTTCTCGCTGTGCAGGTTGAAGCCGTAGCCATTGGGGCCTTTCTTCAGGTGGCACAGGCGTGGGCACAGCTCCTTCTGCCCGTTCAGGTCCTGCTTCATGGGGGAGAGGAGGCACGGGGTTAATGGATGGATTCGGGGTGGCTCCAGGCAGATGTGACCGTAAATAGAGCCCCGAGGAAGCGCCGTATCTGCCCCCCGTCCTCAGCCTGGGGACAGCTTAACAAATGGATTTCCTCTCATTGAGCCTATTTTCGAAACCCAATTGTCCAAAAGCACTCCAGAAAAATGAAAACAAAACAAAAAAATGCATTTCCTTCTGCAGGAGTAGCTCAGATTCATCCACCCATAGGCTGGGACCCTCCCAGCAGCGGCCAAGCCCCAGCCCTGGGCAGGGAGGAACCAAGGCCCAGCTGTGCTTTGGCCAGACCCGGGACTGACCTCAGTCAGGTATTTAAGGCAGGGCCACTCCCTTGGTCTCGGTGACACCGGCATCACCCACTGGTGCCACCATCCCAGTCCCTCCTTGCTGGGAGGGGATGAACCCCAACATCCAAGAGCTCCCTGCGGCTGGGGAAGGCTGAGCTGGGCAGGATGAACAGCACAGGGGCACAGGAGGAGCTCAGCGCTTCTCCCCATGCCATGGAGAATGCTTTATGGCTCCTCAGGGCAGCCAGGGAGCAACAACTCCTGGTTTTCTGCAGCTCTGCAGGACCCACAACATTCCCACCAGCAGCTCCAGCTCGTGGCACAGCACCACATCCCTGCCAAAGGCACCTCAGAGATCCAGGGTGCTCATTTTCAACCAGGCTTTAAGGAAAACATCCCCCCTGGATGAGTTTTAACCCTCCTCAGCAGGAGCAGCTCTGCTCCCTGCCTGAGCAGAGAGGATTGGTCTGGGATCACATTCCCAGGGAAATCTCTCCCAGCCTTTGCCTCCAAATTAAAAATCCAGGCAGCAATTTCCTCCTCCTTCCTCCCTTGGCTGAAAGGCACCACGAAACTCCAAACCTCCCAACTCCTTCACCCCCTCAAGGAGGGGTTTTACAGAGGAGAACAGAGTGGGGTCACACAGAGTGATCTACCAGGGATCCCTGTGCTGGGGATGGAATTTGCACAGAATTCCAGATGGGGTGGAAAAGATCACCTTGTTCAGTCCCCTGCCATGGCAGGGACACCTCCCACTGTCCCAGGTGCTCCCAGCCCAATGTCCAGCCTGGCCTGGGACACTGCCAGGGGTCCAGGGGCAGCCAGATGTGGATCAGGGCTCCAGATGTGGACCAGGGCTCCAGATGTGGACCAGCCCAACCCTAGCATCCAGGGAGAATCAGGGATGCAAAATGAGCAGCCTGTGCACACAGGATGGCTCAGGAGGGAAGGAACCACTGAGGGTCATCCAAGTCCAATCTCCCTGTCCAAGCAGAATTCCCCAGAGCCCATCACTCAGGATTGAGTCCTTCCTCTGGCACAGGAGAGGCACCTAAACCACCAAAACTGCTCGCCTTACCCACCAAACTCCTCAGAAACTGCTCGCCTTACCCACCAAACTCCTCAGAAACTGCTCACCTTACCCACCAAATTCCTCAGAAACTGCTCACCTTACCCACCAAATTCCTCAAAACTGCTCACCTTAATCACCAAATTCCTCAGAAACTGCTTGCCATACCCACCAAATTCCTCAGAAACTGCTCTCACACGAGGGTCACCACCACCAGCAGTGCTCATCACAGGCACAGGGGCACACTCCAAACTGCTCCTGAATTTTACAGAGATTCCCTCAGCAAATGAGTTCTTTACTAAAAACCAGCTGGTGGTGTTGGTATCTCACCCCCAGCTGGGTTCATAAAGGGGAATAAGGATTGAATCAGTGACAGCCCAGCCAGGATGGGGCTCCAAGCCCCTCCTGTGCCTGCTCCCACCGGGGCAGCCCTGCAGCCCCATCCCCTCCCCGTGCACCCTGAACCCTGCTGCACTTTTCCCATGGCCCCAGAGCAGGCAGTTCACCCTATCTGCAAACATTTCCAGCCTGCCCGGAGCTCCTCAGGCTCTGAGGAAAACAGGAAATGATTCAACTGCAGTGACCTTAAAGGACACACGGGGCTCTGTGTGCAGGACAAGGGCAGCGCCTCTGGGGTCACCGAAGTGCAGCTGGCATCACCAAAACCCACCTGGCATCACCTATTCGGGTCCAAAAAGGACCTTTTAATGCCATTTTCCTCCTGCTCCATCCCTGCAGGGTCAGAGCTCCTGCAGCAGTGTGAAAACACAGAGAAATCACCGAGAATCGCCCCAAAATCTGGGCTGGAGGTGCTGTCCCAGCGTGGGGATCCCTTGGGGACACCCTGGCAGGGTCAGTCCCTCCTCCTCCTGCTCCAGGGATCAGCAGTGAAATCAAATTACTCACTAAACCAACCCCAGAGGGAGGGAACAGCTCCCCTGCAGGATCCCCAGGCTGGGAGCTGCTGCTTTGTGCCACGTCCTGCGTGGGCTTGTGCTGCTCCCACTGCAAAATCTTCAATTGAAGGCCCTTAACTGGAACGAATCCAAGACGTTTATTTTTAAATACACACATATAAAAAAAAAAAAAATCCAAATTCAGCATCTGTTCTGGGCAGAAATCCTCAGGGAAAACTGCTTATCCTCCCGCAGAGATGATCCAGGGTTTTGCTGGGCTCTTAAACCTCCCAGCTAACACAATCCTTGGCTGCTGGAGCAAACAGCTTTTGGAGCTGAGCTCTGCAAAGCCCCTCTCTGGGATTAGGGGCTGAGCCCCTGCTCACACCCCCAGCTCTGGAACGGCCTCTCCTGCCTGCTCCTCTCTTTATTTTCCTTTTGCGTTCCTCTCCCTGGCTGTGTTCTGGGGAGGTATTTCCATATTTCCCCATTTCCCGGGGGATTTGGCCTCTGTGAAACCCGAGTTTTTCTGGAAGAGCAGCGTTGTTATCATGGGGGCTTCACAGGATCCTGCCTGAGAGGGGTTCTGGGGGAGGCTGCGCCCCTCTCATAGCCAGTGCTGCAAAGGATCCAGTTACAGACACAAGCGTGCTGCAAAGAAACTGAATTCAACCCCGTTTTTTTCTGTCTCGGAAAGCCAAAAATCGCCCACACGCCAAAAAAACAAAAAAAAAAAAAACCAAAAAAACCCAAAAAAACCCCAAAAAACCCCAAAACACCCCCCAAAAAACCCCAAACCAAACAAAAAAAAAAACCACCAAAAAAACCCCCACAAAATTAAGATTATGCCGAAAAAACCCCTGCAAAACGAAGATTTTGCAAAAAAAACCCCACTCTGCAAAATAAAGATTTTGCCAAAAAAATCCCCTGCAAAATGAAGATTTTGCCAAAAAAAAAAAGCCTGCAAAATGAAGATTTTGCAAAAAAACCAAAAAAAACACGCAAAATGAAGATTTTGCAAAAAAAAAAAAACCTGCAAAATGAAGATTTTGCCCCCAAAAGAACCCTGCAAAATGAAGATTTTGCAAAAAAAAAAAGCCCTGCAAAATGAAGATTTTGCCTCCCAAAAAACCCTGTAAAATGAAGATTTTTGCCAAAAAAATCACTGCAAAATGAAGATTTTGTCACAAAAAACCCTGAAAAATGAAGATTTTGCCAAAAGAAAAAAACCTGCAAAATAAGATTTTTTTTTTTCCTCTGCCCAGGAATCCAGCCCCTTCCAGTGAGTGCCTGAAGCAGGGCCCACTCCATCCCTGCCTGTGCCATGCCCAGGGGTGTCTGTGCAGGTAAATCAGGTAAATCCTCCCTGCATGGTGATCTGCACTCACACCCAGCCCTGGAGCTGCTGCATTTTCCAAGGAAAACCTTTCGGAAGCTCAGCTCAAGCTGCTCCATTTAAAAAAGCACAAACAAGACATTAAATAACAATGAAACGCTTTCATAAAAAAAAAATTCAAAAAACCCGATTGGGTGTTGCCAGCTCTCACAATCTCACGGCAACTCTCTGCAGCACCTGATTTTTGATTTCCCTTGGAGTTCCCAGCGCTGCTGATGGGAACTGGGGTCCCTCAGGGCTCACCTGGGGGCACCCAGAGCCAAGCCCAGCTCCCCTGGGTGCCCCTTGGCCCATGGGTGCCCCAGCCCTGGGCTGTGCCACGCCTGCACTGACCAGGCTGTGCCCATTTGTCACCAATGTCACCAGCCCTGATTAACGAGGGGTTCCACACCGTTAATGAGCACGTGGCAGCCTGCAGGAAAGCAGAACCCACTCCCAAAAGGAGCCAAACTCCCCTCCTGGGGTTTGAGGGGCAGCAGAGCAGCCCCCAAGCTTGGGTTACCCAACCAAACCCACCTGGCCCTACAAAATCCACTCCCAGCTCAACACCTGTCACCCCTTTAAGATTTTTAAGGTTTTTAAGATTTTCTCAGCCTTCTCACGTTGAAGTGTAGTGAACTTTCTCACACACTTTTTGTAAATAACTCATTGTTTTGCATTCCTTTATGGAAGACGAGAAAGTTGATAAGCTGTTGGTCTGACCAGTGTCATCGGAGAGGTGGCACTGTCACCCTCCAGTCTGCTGTCACTTTAGGAAAACTATAAATGCTAAAGTCAGAAAATAAACTCCCCTTTTCCTTCACCTCAAAAGCAGCAGTGTACACTGATTTTCTTTTGGATCCTATAGCAACAAACCCCAGTGCCAGGGACCCTCCTGTGCCACTGTGAGCCAGCCCAGCACAGGGACGTCCCTGCTCCCCACAGCCCAAAGGACTGTCCCAAAGGAAAAACCAACCTGCACCTTCACACCAGCCCAGCCTGGCCCTGAGCAGGGACAGGAATAAATAAAATGGACATTGCAGAGCCAGCCCAGAAAGCTGCAGGAGCACCCAGGGTCTCTCCACACCCAGGGTCTGGCTCTCCACACTGGTGGCCAGGTGCCACGACTGTCCCCAGCCCCTCTGCCCCACAAAGGGCTAAAATGCTTTGAAAGCCACAGTTTGGGGCTTTATTCCTAATAAAATTAAACTCAAAAATAGGGGTTTATTCCTAAATAAAAATAAAATAAAAAATAAAAACAAAATAATAAAATAAAAAAATAAAATAATAAAATAAAAGATAAAATTAAAAATAAAATAAAAAA